ATGCCGCGATTCAGGAACACCAATCGGCTTAAGGTTAGGAATAAAGTCAATACAAAATTCAATGGCCTCCTCATTTTCATGGCCCTTCGCGATGCTTCCTTCTGGCCTAGACGGTTATGAACATATTTCTTCAAGACTCCCATGAACCTCTCAAAGGGGAACATATTGTGTAGAAATACAGGACCCAAAATGTTAATCTCTTCGCAAAGGTGAACTAGGACGTGTGTCATGATGTTGAAGAAGGATGGTGGGAACACCAACTCGAAACTGAAGACACCGCACCAAATCATTCTATAACCTTGGTATGATTTCTGGATCGATTACCTTCTGAGAGATTGCACTGAGGAATGCACATAGCTTCACAATGACTAATCGAACGTTTTCCGGTAGAAGCCCCCTCAGTGCAACCGGAAGCAGTTGCGTCATAATCACGTGGCAGTCATGAGACTTTAGGTTCTGGAACTTTTTCTCTGCCATATTTATTATTCCCTTTATATTCGAGGAGAAGCCAGACGGTACCTTCATGCTGAGCAGGCATTCAAAGAAGATTTTCATCTCTTCTTTGGTAAGAGCGTAGCTGGCCTGACCCTGATGTATGCTGTCTTTTCCGTGCATACGTTGCTGGTCCTCCCGTGCCTCTGGTGTATCTTTTGTCTTCCATACACGCCCAAGAAGCCAAGCAGGGTCACGCAAAGATTCTTTGCCATGTGCATCACGTCGATTGCGGAGCGGACCTCTAGGTCTTTCCAATATGGCAGGTCCCAAAATATAGATTTCTTCTTCCACATGGGTGCGCGTCCGTCAGCGTCCTTCGGAATAGGTTGTCCGCCAGGACCCTTTCCAAAGATTACCTTCAAATCCTTGACCATATCATGTACATCAGCACCAGTACGGTAGCGAGGCTTCGTCCGGTGATCCGCCTCACCTTTGAAATGCTTGCCTTTCTTTCTTACGGGATGCCTGCTCGGAAGAAATTGACGATGTCCCAGGTACACATTCTTCCTACAACTCTCCAAATATATACTATCGGTATCATCCAAATAGTGCGTGCATCCGCGGTATCCCTTGTTTGTTTGTCCTGAAAGGTTACTGAGAGCAGGCCAATCATTGATGGTCACGAACAGCAACACCTTTAGGTCAAATTCTTCCTGTCCGTGCTCATCCCACACACGTACACCTGTTCCATTCCACAGCTGTAATAGTTCTTCAACTAATGGCCTTAGGTAGACATCAATGTCGTTGTCGGGTTGCTTAGGGCCTTGGATGAGCACGGGCATCATAATGAACTTCCACTTCATGCACAACCAAGGAGGAAGGTTATACAAACATAGAGTCATAGGCCACGTGCTACGGTTGTTGCTCTGCTCCCCAAAAGGATTAATGCCATCTGCGCTTAGACCAAACCATATGTTCCTTGGGTCACCTACAAACTCCTCCCTGTACTTTCTCTCGATTTTTCTCCACTGCGAACCGTCAGCGGGTACTCTCAACTTTCCGTCTTTCTTACGGTCTTCTCCGTGCCACCGCATCGCCTTCGCATGCTCTTTGTTTTGGAACAAACATTTCAACCGTGGTATTATAGGAGCATACCACATCACCTTGGCAGGAATCTTCTTCCTGGGGCGCTCTCCCTCGACATCACCAGGGTCATCGCGACTGATCTTATAACGCAATGCACCGTATTCCGGGCAAGCGTTCAAACCCTCGTACTCACCGCGGTAGAGGATGCAGTCATTAGGGCATGCATGTATCTTCTGCACCTCTAACCTTAGAGGGCAAACAACCTTCTTTGCTTCATACGTACTCTCGGGCAATTCGTTGTCCTTTGGAAGCATATTCTTTATCATTACCAGCAACTTTCCAAATCCCTTGTCAGATACACCATTCTCTGCCTTCCATTGCAGCAATTCTAGTGTGGTGCCCAACTTTTTTTTGTCGGCTTCGCAATTCGGGTACAACAATTTATTGTGACCCTCTAACATGCGCTGCAACTTCTTCCTCTCCAAATCACCTGCGCAGTTTCTCTTTGCATCGGCAATGGCCCGACCTAGATCATCAGCGGGCTCATGTGATGCCTCTTCTTCAGCTTCTTCCCGCATTGCCGGCTCAGCTTCTTCTCCCATTGTTGTATCATCGTATTCAGGGAACCCATGGCCAGGATAGATGTCGTCGTCCTCTTCTTCTTCATTGTCTTCCATCATAACCCCTCTTTCCCCGTGCTTGGTCCAAACATTATAGTGGGGCATGAAACTGGACTCAAATAGGTGGACGTGAATGGTTCTTAACGTAGAGTAATTGTGACCATTCTTACAGCCAGCACATGGACAAGGCATAAAACCATCTGCCCACTTGTTTGCCTCAGCGGCAAGCAGAAAAGTATGCACGCCATTAATGAACTCGGGAGAGCATTGATCATCATACATCCATTGTCGGCTCATCTTCATTACACAACACCGAATAGACCAAATTAATACAAGTTCATACATAAAGTTCATATACAACACTTAAATAAATGCAATATACAAATAACTCTCTAGCTAAAGAATTTAAATGCAACAACAAATGCGATCAAGATCGCAGCTAAGGTAACAATCGATCGAACAACATAATGATTCCAAGCCACACTATCAATGGCATATTTTCTAATCTTTCTAATCTTCAACCGCATTTTCTTCATCTTGATCTTGTGATCATCGATGACATCGGCAACATGCAACTCCAATTCCATCTTCTCCCCCTCAATTCTTTTCAATTTTTCTTTCAAATAATCGTATTCTCTTTCAACTAAATTTAACCTCTCAACAATAGGGTCGGTTGGAATTTCCGATTCACATACCTCCTAGATAAAAATATCTATGTCAACTTGATGGGCATAATTTGTCATAAACACGAAATGCAACAACTAGTTTTAAAAGAGAATATACCTCATCCGAATCATAACAAGGACGAGAGCCGACGGGGACGGATATCAAAACCATGGCACTATGTATAACAAACAATGTACGGGTAAGATAATTATATGAGTAACTATATATCCAAATCACACAAACATCAATTTGGTAATGTAAAACATTCATGAACAAGAGCCTCACCACAAGGTGGTGCCTGCGACGGGACGGTGTGGGCGATCGACGGTGGTTACAACGGAGATTTAGAAGGCACTAAGTAAACCACACCTACATATGCAAACTGTGTGTTATTTTTGACCTCAAATTGCATATAAATCAAATACTAGCACATATAATTCCTCTCAAATTACTAAACTCACAAATTAATCACTATACGAAGCATTGCAAGAGCTAATATAGCAATGAGAGATGAAAGGACAAAGTTGCTAACCTTTGTGATCATTTGAATGGATGAGGGCCTTCAAATCTTGACAAATTTTGGGCAAAATTTGTGATGAGCTCGAGGAAGAGAGGGGAAGAACAGAGGAAGTGAGGGGAAAGGGGAAGAACAGAGCGAGCTCGGGTGGACGAAGGGTTTATGTACGATGACCTTTAATACCGGTTCGTGCCACGAATTGATACTACAGGTGCTGGAGGGGCCCCAGACTGACAACATCCTGCCACCACACTCTTTAGTACCGGTTCGTGGCACGAACCGGTGCTAAAGGTTCGCCACGAACTGGTACTAATGAGAGCGGCCGGCTAGCCGTTGGAACCGGCACTGATGGACACATTAGTGCCGGCTCAAAATCAAACCGGCACTAATGTGTCTCAGATTGACCCTTTTTCTACCAGTGCTACAACACTTATTATGGATCGGAATTACTAGTATTTATGCTTGGAACATGTAAAGTATTTCATTTCATCTGCAATCAGTACAAGTTAACTGTGTATTTGTTACTGAATACCACTCAGTTATTTTTTATACCAGCTAAATGCCCCATTTGTTAATACAGACCCATTTGTTCACATGGCAAACTTGATTGTAACTGGAAAGTTGTTGGTACCTAAAGTTGTTGGTGCCTTCTATTTTAGCAGGTCAATGCAAGACTTCAGTTTCACTAGAGAACAATGGAGCAGTTGGCTAGGTAGTATAATCAATCTGCAAGGAAACAAACTGGAAAGCATGTAACATTATGTATATTCAGGCCAATAAGTGAGCAATAATTGATCTTATATTATAGGTTTGCCAAGCCATAGAAAAACAACTGCAATAAGTGAGGGAGTAGTAGAGCGGCGTTTCGGTGCCCGGGTGCATCTGCACCCGGTCAAAAAAAAAAATCGTAAAAAATTCAGAAAAAATCAAAAAATTCCAAAAAAAATTTGGTGGTAGACAATTTGATGCGTGAGGTACGCTCCAATTTTCAAAACATTTGGACTTCTGTGCAGCTCTTACCAAAAAAGAGAAATCAGACCAGAACAGTATATGAACAGTACACATTTTTACAGACCTCCGATTTGTCTTTTTTGCTGAGAGCCGCACAGAAGTCCAAATGTTTTGAAAATTTGAGTGTACCTCACGCATCAAATTGTACACCACCGCAATTTTTTTTGGAATTTTTTGAATTTGTTAATATTTATTTTGATTTTTTTCGTGAGCGCAGGAGCAGATGAGCTCGGGTTCAGATTCGAATTTTCCAGTAGTTGTTTAGTATTAAGCTAGAACAACTGGTTATTGTACATAGGTACCACCATTATATGCCTCAAAATCATGCATGTAAATTAAAGCATTAGTACACATATCATTTTCCAACTTGCCAATAGAATAAGTGAACTGATAAGGTTGCCACGCACACATATCCAAAGCTCATTGTGTTGGAGTAGGAAGGACATTATTTTCTATATATTGCTCCAATACTTTTTATTTGACGAACTGCAGTGGTTGTCCCCTTGGCTGGAAGAGACTGTCTATGGCTCAGGAGATAGTATAACATACATGGATGATTCTTTCCTCCATCATATTGAAAAAGGAGCCCTTTCCCTCTATCCACACTAACACAACATTTCCATAGCCAACACCCACGGAGCAGAAAGAACTCTGTCTGAGCGACAATGGAAAGATTTTTGGTGAGCGCATCCACTGGAGCCATGGGCTCTGTCCTAAGAAAGTTGGGCACTATGTTGAGTGATGAATACAAGCTGCTCAAGGGTGTTCGTAAGGACATCAAGTTCCTCAAGGACGAGCTTGAGGCCATGCAAGCATTCCTCATCATGATGGCAGAAGAGGAGGAACCGGATGAGCAAGCTAAGATCCGTGCGAATGCCGTGAGAGAGATGTCTTACGAGATCGAGGACAACATCGACAAGTTCATGGTACTTGTGGAAGGTGAGCCTAGTTCCAAATCAGATGGCTTGATGAAGCTTTTCAACAAAAGCATGAACAAGATAGCAGATGTCAAGATCCGTCATAAAATCGCCAAGGACATCCAAGACATCAAGAGCCAAGTGAAGGAGATCTGCAGTAGATATAGGAGGTACACAAATGATTTTTTTACAAGTTATTTGTTTTACTTCCATTAACATATTGATGTCCCAGTCAAATATTATCACATCTGCCCCTTCATGACTAACTTCTTTCTCTACAATCGAAAGGTACAAAATCGATGAGTCCTCAAAAGCTAGAAATGCAAATGTTGACCCACGAATTGTGGCAATATATAGAGATGCATCTGGGCTTGTCGGCATTGATGGTCCAAGAGATGAGCTCGTGGAGTGGCTGAGTGACCAGGAGGGTGAATTGCCACATCGACAAAGAGTTGTCTCAGTTGTCGGATATGGTGGGTTAGGCAAGACAACCCTTGCCAAACAGGTCTATGACAAGCTTGGAGCAAACTATGACTGTCAAGCTTTTGTGTCAGTCTCACGAAATCCTGATATGACAAAAATTTTGAGTTCAATATTATCTGAAATCAGCAATGGAAAAGAGGATGCAAGGGAAAGGCATCAGCAAATCATCGACCAGATCAGGAAATTCCTTCAAGATAAAAGGTACTTATACAAGTGCTGCTACTTAAAGTTCAAGCAAATCACTTTGACTTTATGCAGAATCATTCATAATGACCTAATTTTAATTGATGTGAGTTATAGACGAATTTATTTCCTTTAATTTGTGAAATTAAAAATTGTATAATTTTTCACAAGTGCCCCTGCTGTATTTCCCAGTTGTTGTCTGCATAAACGCTTCTTTCAACTATGCAGACTGACACACATTCCACAATTTGTATGCTGGACTGCTGTATCTCACTTTTAGCGCTGCACAAATAATTAATTCTTGTGTACAGTAAATCATAGCTAGTAAGAAAGTGTATCACGCCACAACACATGTTGTTTCAATAATAACCT